ATATATTAGATAAATGTTTATATTTTTGTTTATAAAAATAATTGATTTAAGAAAAAGAAGAAACAAGAAATATATATATTTATCTGGATTCAATGATAATGTTATTTATTATCCGGATAAAATATATAATGACCTTTATACTTATTCTATTATCTATATTTGTAACAGAAAAATAGTTATTCTGTTTAAAAAACAAGCGTATACATGAAAATCTTTAAAACGGTTTTGTGTAGAAAATAAAATGTTGCGTTACTTTCTTTGCATACAGAATAAATGGATATATATTTTTTCGTTTATTTTTTGTTTTGTTTATCTTTGAAACAAACTGGAAAGATGTTTATTGTATTTGAACATATAAACCTCAAGCGAAGATTATCAATAAATATAAAAATGAATATACCTCATGTTAAGGTAAATATATATAAAAACGTACATTTTTCCATATCTGAAAATTGTAAGTATTCAATTCCAATATTTGTACGATAAAAAGAAATAAAATAAAAAATTGAAAATCGATAGGAATGATTGTTAGTGAAGCATTGAATTTGAAAGAAAAAGAAAATGAAATAAAACAAGTGAAAAATATGATGTAAACAACCAGTCTCGAGTCTTATCATTTCGTAAATATAATAAGTTCACAGTTCAGATTATTATTTTTTATACACATAATATAATTTACGTATATAAATTATATTTATTAAACACGAAACTTTATTTGAATCGATAAATTTTGGCAAGAGTTTAGCAAGAGCTATTTAATAAGAATTTAATGTCGTCTGTGTGTTTAACAATTAAGAAAAGCAGAGTAAACAGTAACTACATATAATTTAGTTAGTTAGACTTTGAAAAATAGGTCCATTGGCATTGCTTACTAAACTTATCCCGTAGAGTAAACTTTGCTGGAATGGTTTCTCTAAGTTTATATAATAACTCGGCTTATATAAAGTGGATATGTAGTCTTATAAATAAAATGATTTAGTTTTATCTTTCAAAATAGAAATATACAGTTTAAATTTTTTTTCAATTGAAACACTTAAATTTGTTTCTTATAAGGAAAAAATATATATATATAGACCTACATTTTATATATTGTTAAACAAGGTTAACCATACTATCTCTATATTGAATTTCATCGCTATTGTATAATTTTCTATAGAATATTTTATATAGATAATAAATAAAACTCAAAATACTAAATAAAGATCAGTTTCTATATCAAATGTATATATATTTGATTTAGAAACTAAATAAAAAATTTAAAGACATCACGCCGTACATCATTGGTGTATAATTTCCTTGGTTTTATAAATTTAATAAGAAAAAATTTGATTTATATATAACGATACAATATTTTTTATAACTATATAATCATAAGTGAAGTTATTTTATACACATTTAATACTGTAAATTTAACCAATTTTTAAAATTAAATTTTAACAAGTTTCTTTAAGTTATTACACTAACTTTATGCATTTATTAAATTTTTATAATGTAATTGAACTTATTAGTTAGCATATTTTTAGCCGTATCCTCTACTAATTCCATTAATATAATGTAAATTTTGAATATGGAACGTTTATTGAGCTCTATATTTCATGTAAATTAAGCCATAAAGAAACTAATCATTTGTCTTGTATATGAAATTCATAAATTCTGTAAATCTAATGAATGCATTAGTAATCTGATCCTAACATACTTCTTTCATTCATACAGCAATGCATTGATAGATATATTGAGATTCTTGTAATGCTTTTAGCATTTACAGAACTTATTAATGGATCTCATGGAAAGTAAATCAATAGAGCTTATGATTTTATAGATATATAAGAATAATATGCATCTATCTAATCACTACAAAGTCTGCGAATCTTTATATAGATTACATAATATATCAATTAGCAAAATAAAAAACATTTAATTTTTAAAATTAATAAGTTAACAGATCTTAATAATAAACACTACTATCTAATCGAATTGTTACAGCCATATTAGATCTGGATGACTTGTTACATGGCATTTTAAATGCGTTAAACTATTGAACACTTTACTAACTCTCTCTCTGTCTCACCATCTCTATTGAACATATTTAAAGCTCGTACATCAATTACACTATTATGATATTAAATACTAATCCTGATAGACACAATTATTTTACTGCTACTACTACGATGTTTAAGATTAAATAGACGTACTGAACTATTGATAATGAAATCACGTTTCCAAAAATATTTTATGTGTGTGCAAATTATATTGGAAAATTTTCATTTTTATAGACCAGCATAGCGTCAAGTTTAGTAATGAAACTCTTTTATTATATATATATATTATATGGGTCAATTTTACGGTTAAAGCGATGTAGTATCTGACAAAACTTGTGGAAAAAATCTCACTACTTCTAACATCTATAACTCTAACCTAATTTTCATAATAAGCGAAGGCGATTATTTTGTTATTAGCTTTCAGTACCTGTTTCTTATTGATCAGATAGTAATTAGCCAGGTTGTGCAAGAAAATTTGTATCGATTTCATTTTAAAACCGTTGGTTGCCCATCATCAACGACTATCCCAGATATTGTTTCAAATTGTAACAAATTATATTTTGAGAATATAAAATTGATAGCTACGAACTTTAAATTACTTTCAAAGAATCTTTCACATTTTAAAATTTATTATTTTTTTTATTTTTGATTAAAAATGGAGTAGAAGATGACAGGAAACGAACATCGATAATACATTCATTATTCGAGATTTAGTTAAAAGAATTATGTTCCTCACTTTTGAATGAGAATTCAGATTACTTATATATAATTCAAACACTATTTTCAGAAACTTTTATATCTATAAAATGTGTATGTATATGCTAAGAATTTTCTTTCTCACAACACACTAAATTTCTTTTGATAAAGATGAAAGATAAATTGGATACAGTAGCCATTTTCCTCTGATCTTTCATTTCAAAAAAACGTCAATTCTGTTTTGGATATTTTATCTTGAGGTTTTTCAGTTGTCAGGTAAGTAACTTTATCCTTTTTCTAGCTACACGAATTAAATTCATGGTAAGAAAATTCGATATGAAAAAGTTCCATTCATTCAATTCAAGATTCAAATTTCCTATTAGAAGCGTGTTAAGAAGTAAAAACCATATTTCCTCAGCTTAATTTTTATATTAAAAAAATAAAATAAAATAAACAAATTTATTTTTACGAAATGTTTTTGCTAAATGGGCAGTTGATTAAATTTCAGATTGAATAATGTTGAAGCAAAGAAAAGAAATCAGCTTAATTCATCCTTTTGAATAGTGAAATTGTAGACGGAACTTCCTTTTAGTAGAGCCATATTCTTATCAACAGTCTCACAGACGATGCACTAAAGTAAATAGTATTATAGAAACTTTAAGAAATGACTGTTTAACTAAGCATCATCGTATTCTGTTCGATACAATAAGATGGTAAATCTATGTCTATCTGGTTCAATGATTTATCTATTGGCCAAGTTCCAAAAAAAGGAGAAGAATTTTCACTATTAAATTAATGGTAAAAATAAAAGACATTGACAACCAATTCTTCCAACATCCGTAATCCAGGTATATAAATCCTCGGATTGAGGTTTGTTAGCCAGAAATGGTATCGGTAAATTAAATTCATCGAAAATCTTTTCTAGAAAGTTAAGATGAAAGAGGAGAGTTCTATTGTATATTTAATTGGATGCTCTTGATCAATGCACGATTGACTGGTTCTTAATTGTAGTGTCTCTCCTATGTGATGAAAAGTAGCCATTGGAATTTATGTCTCTTTAACCCTGCAGTACGTCCAATTAGTCAACCATTACGGAGTTTTTCTTTTTCCTACCATCTACAGTACACCCCGAGGTCTGTAAATGGCGTGCGTTATCTCAATTGTGTCTTCAGCTATAGATTGGTAGTGACTCACCGACCAGCAGATTTCCGTCCTTTTCTTGTCACTTAGTTACAGTACTAGTTTCTACACGCCAGGTTTGTAAGTAGCCTAATCTTCAGAAGAGCAGGATTAGTTCTTTCCAAGTGACTTTGTCTTCTCTTTTCTCTTCCACTAGTTTACTTATTCTCGTTCTAAAACTTCGCTTTTTTTATATAAAAAATTGTCTGACAGTCAAGCTTCGGGCTAGGAACTGTCAGTTAACTTTTCTAGCGTGCGGACAAATTTATTTTCCTGCCTACAGCCTCTTACTGCATGATTTTATGAAATATTCAACTCTTACGTATTTTTACGGTTGTTGGACGCGTGAGTGCACATATAAAAAAACTGCTTAAGAATTTCTTTCCTTGTTTTTTCTTTCTTTTTTTTATGTTGCATCTATCGATGTCTGTGCTTCAGTGAACAAATATTGAAAATTCATCGAATTTCAAAAGGCTTAGTTTATTATTAAAATTAGCACAATAAATGCACATTTTTCATTTTTCTTATTGAAATTAAACTTGGACTAGATTTAAGAAAGTAAATTTGTCTCGAAATTTTAATAACTTGCATCCATTCGTAAAATTTTACTTTTACTTTTTTTTTTTTTTATAGTTTTATAAATTCTCTAGCCGGTTCAGCAGCTGTGAAATACAAAATTTATCAGTGCAACTGCACAAGCAGTCAAACTTTAGGGACGATCTTTCAACTTTAGTAGTTTTTGTGACTTTTTTTTGTATAACATTTATTATTCAAATTTAAACATATTTAAATTAAATTAGTTGCAAAGCTTACGTATTATTTAACTTTAATAAAGAGATCGAAAGATCAAAAAGATGTTAAGGATCGACCATTGATTGGGGTTCGTGCAATTATTCGTTATTAATTGCCTCTCTAATTAATAATCTTCTTAGAACTGATCGCATTCACTCCGTAGATGAACCGTAGAAAATAATACGTTCAAGTATTATTAATTTCATGTATATAGCAATAACTTTCTTAGAAGGGAGATCTTGGTCGGTTATTCACATCTTCCTATTATTTTTCCATTCATTAGAAATGATATCAACTGAAGCAGAAAATGAACATTGGATGGATAATTATTTATATAGAATAATCAATATAGTTTATTGATCGCAAAGATCTGTTGCCACGGTAACGACTTGAAAATTTGACTTTCCTTATGAATAATGGAACTGGTTTGTTTATAACATAAGACATTAATTCCGTATGTTAAAAGGTGACAGATGCAAGAACATTTTTGAATGCGACTAGCAAGCGCTGTGATTTATTTCTGACTATCTTAGCATTTTTATACATATTTTTTTATTATTTTAATTTGTTAATATACACATTAGAATATAGTTAACTTCCTGGTGACTAATATAAGCATTTCCTTCCTTCCAATATCATTTTAAAGACTTCAAAGCTAAGAAACTAGTAAAAAGTTGCAATTAAAAAATAGAATAGACTATTTTATTTTGAAAATGCATTTATATATGTGAATTCTACATATAAAAGTTTAAAAACATATTTAAAAGTTAGCATAAAAAAGCTGGATAAAGAAGATTTTCAATAAAGCTATATTTTTCTTTCTAGATAGCCTTTGAGCAGTTTATCATGATAAAAATATTTGCTATATTTACAATCTAATCGGATTTTATATGCATTTTTCAAACATAAATAGTTGTAATTTATATAAACGTTTCAGATAAAAATATCGAGATCAATAATTTATACGCTGTAAAGGAACAGTATTCGCGTATAATTATCGGAGCGAATCAACTGTAAAATAAGGATATGCTACTTTAGAAACGAAATTTAACTTAAAGGTGATCTGACTAGAAAGGGGAAATGGAATATATTAAACAACTGTGGCTAAAAATCTATTAAGTCAACTGTACTTTACCTAGTCAAGTTTTACGATCGACTGTTCGCATATCATTAATCATTCGATAGAAAGTGAAGCAGAAAATCCACCAAGCGCAGTATCAAGTCTGCTTTTATTGGTACTATACAAAGGTTCATTTGGTGCAGCGTAAGATTTAACTTGTCCTTTCGGTCAATGGAGATAGCTTACTGCATCTTTAGCATTAAAAGAAGAAGAAACTTAAGACCGAGATGTAAAATCCTCTTAACGTGCGGTGCATTGGTTTACAGAAGTGAATGGATAGCAAAATCTCATCAGAGGCAGCTGGCGCCTAACGCCTAGCGTGCTCCCACTAGCTGTTCGGATGTGCCATTTCACTGTAGCTCTGTCAGAGTTAGAGAGTGCTGGACAGTTCGACTAGACACAACGGACAACCATTGACTGACATCTGTTAATAATTGGCCACAGGCAATTCGACACTGGGTTGCTGTCAGGGGCGTAACTATGGTGAGTCCGTTATTGATGGCTGCATCGTCGGGCTGAAGCCACTGCGCCTAGTAAGGGGGTGAGTAAGCAGTGGCAGTCGGTGGTACTCTCGCTCTAAACAGTTGCTCGTTTCTGACCCTCGTGACTGTTCGCTTGGACTTCTGCCTCTACAACAACTAGGAATAATTATGTGACGTTGATGTGACATACCTCACGCCATGATACCTTGGTGGTGGAAATATATAATTTTCATTTTTCTCTGGATTACTTCAGGTAAGATATGCACGTGTTTAATTTTTCTCCATTGATTTTTAGTAGTTACAAAACTAGAAATTTGATAATTATATTAGATTAATATCTCAAGTTTTATGCTTTTTTTATAGTAATAAACCGTTAACTTCTTTTTTTTAATTCGTTTTCTATTTATGTTTTGAATCGGAATTTTGCATGGATGTTATTTTCTCGTTTAGTTTTAAAACGCAAAATTTGAATTAAAATACATTTAATTGAAAGTAATAAAATGTTAAGGTAGTTTTATGTATTTTTTCTCAATTTGAATTTCTATTAGATAGCGTGATCAAAGAATATTTTTTAAAAAAGAGAAGTTTGTAAAGTTATATATTATGCATTTATTATTGATGGATGCTTTCACTTTTATATCGAATAAAAATTCGAAGTAATTTATTTTATTTTATTATAATGCAGCATTTTTTAAATATATTTTTTGTTGATATAGTTTCGAAGTCCTTGAAATCCATTAGGACGGAATTTAAAACATTTTGGGTCATGCATATGTAGGATATAGGCACAGCGTGTGCATTTTCGAAAGATTTACGTTTATAAGTTCTTAGTAATAAATAAAACTATTTTTTTTTGCATACTGTGTTCTTTTCTTAGAATTTATTTGTTTTTTCCCAGCTTTTTCTGCAAATCATGATAGGGTGGGTCCTTCTTTTGTTATGGAACCAGCCAGCAGAATAGATTTTCTTAACTCCACCGGCACCGTAATACCATGTACCGCTCGTGGTATTCCAACACCTTCAATAAGTTGGATGAAAAAGGATGGTTCTTCTGTGGGAGATATACCTGGATTGAGACATATAAGACCAGATGGATCTCTGGTGTTCTCACCTTTTCCTGCCGAGGATTATAGGCAAGACGTCCATTCAGCTGTCTACAGGTGTGTGGCAAGCAATGTTGCTGGGACAATCGGAAGTAGGGATGTTATTGTCAGAGCAGGTGAGTTATAACTGCAAATTCCCTTTCCGTATCTAAAATTACGCTACATAAATTATGAAAATTTTAGAATAATTTTTTTTCATTGGCAAAATTCCAATTAAAGTTTTCTCGGTTCTTTCTGATCGATCTTTTGTATTTTGTTAACACTGCATGGTAAGTAAGCCGCAGTCAACAGATGGTCTCCATGGTTCATTTATTACTTAAACTTGCTCATTAGCATAAAGAGTTTGATTTAATTATACCCAACGTTATCAATGTGCTGTCACTAGAATTACTTCATCGTATTCCTTACGGCATAACTCCACACTCTTGTTGCTCATTCACGCTTAAATTATACCAAGAAGAGATAAGAATTTCTTAACGCGCAGGCAATGAGAAAGTCATCGCGATAATTGCAATTAACCGAGCTAAACGATACAAGAAAAAAAAAAGAAGAAATGTTTAACCGAAATTCAGTATAATTACAACTCTTTCCGCATCCTGTATCCGTTGAATATTCCTGATGTACATCTTTGAATCAATATGTTTATGAGAAATGCAACAATATGAGAAAATTAAACTGAAGTAGCTCTGGTCGAGATATGTACAATAGGCATTCGAAACGCATGAATTAAATATTATGCTTAAATTTATTGAATTATTTTATCAGCATAGAACACTCGTACAGTCTGAACAATGTTTGATTTAATTGAATTAAACCTTAAAGATATGCAAATATAATACAAAACTTCGTACGTTTCTACATTTCCTATCAGCTTTTAGCTTCCTACGTGGGCTCTGATAATTTTGAATAATTAATGATTGATGTTCAAACAAAAACATTAAAAAAGTCTTTGATCTTACAAAAACATTTTTTGTTGGTACTGTATATTTTTTTCAATTAGCATAGAAATGAGGATTAATTATTATATTTTCATTTTTTGAAGGATTAATATTAAAAGCATTGAAATTTAATAACGCTTGTATAATTTCGATGTATGAATAATCGAAGAGGAAAAAAATCTCTTTTACAGTTCCAAAACAAATATTTGTATATATTATGTAAAAGAAAACTTGTGAGCAAACATATTTGCTCATGCAATTTAACTAAAACTTCTATCTTTAGTTCGCTTTTCGGCAAATATAGTCACATTTATTGTGTAATTTGGTCGTCCAGCTTTTAATTGGGAAATGGAGGAAACAAAACAACGTTGAGAGTTTTGGTAATTAAATTTTCAGTGCGGGAAAGAAGCAGTTTCCTGTAAATTACGACCTTAGTCATCAGTAGTTCGAAATTCAGCGTACTTTTCACTTAATTATCTTGCCCTATCCTTGGTTGTGATGCTTTCTCCTATATCCCTGCTAGGTAATGACAACGTGACTAGCTAGCTGTCAGCCTAGTCGCTGCTTACAGAATAGAACATAATTAAATGCAAACAAGGTGCAAGACGTACACCTCACTAGCTGTCTAGTTACGACAAAAGATGAAGAAAACTAGAATAGAATCAAATACTTGTTAAAAATCTTCACCTTTAAATTATTTTTATGTAAAATCACATTATTTTTATATAAAACGTGTTGTATTGTTTACATTTATAATAATTAAGTAATTATTTAAATTTGTTACTTTATTTTATTTANAAATATAAATATTTAGTTGATCGATTATTCCGTATCCCCCCAAAAAAATCAAAATGATATTCGGAAAACGAACAATAAGCGAAATGGATAGATAAGAATCGAAAAAGTACAAAAACTAATAATGCATTATATTTTCTGAGTTAAAACCTTCCGATTCTGAAAAATTTCCTATGACAGATGCCATTTACTGATTGAAACAATTTTGTTTAATGGTTTTTAGTTATTTAGTGGTAAGTTTTTTCGTAATATTAGTAATATTCTTCAAAATTTTAGTAGCTTAAATATCATACCTTTTCTTTGGATCGGTGCGCCTTTTCTTTTTTATTCTTATCACATAAAGCACGTAAACAAAAGAACATTAATATCGTCATTTTAAAAAGAAAAAAAAAGTATATTTTTTGTAAATTACAATTCCCAGAAAAGACTATTTCGCATCAGCAAAGGAGCGAGTTTATATATATTCTACTTATCCCGTTCTTTCTCGGTACTAAACAAAATAAAATGTATCGGATCAAGATTATAAATATAAAATATTCATTTATACGTTCGCTTAAATTTATGTTTTAGGAATTTATTCAGTAAAAATTTATCTTAAAAAAAGAAATTTCTATCGGTAAAGTATGGTCTATACGGTTTTTACCGATTTAAAAATTCATCCAGTGTATTCGAGTAAGTTGAAAGAATTCGTTTCCTGAGAAACTAACGAAGAAATTGCCCATTTTGGCACACAATAGGGAAACGTTGAGGTTATTTATCACTGCAAATGTTTCGGATAAGATAGAAATCAGCAACTAGCTTACGCAGCGGTAGTTTGTCTGCTTTAGACATGTGCTGCATTACAGAAAGCTTGCGTCTGTGAAGCATGACATTCTGTCGACCTAAGCCCTTCGAGTCAATACATCATTTTGTGCCTTTTGAAGTTTTATTGATCAGTAATATGGCAAGCTCCGTTTCTTATTTTTTCTGCTTCAGCGCTGTCCAGCAGCCTTTGTCAACAGAGTCCAGCCATTGTGTATTGAGGTATCACTTCCAAAAGCCAATCCTTGCACCATCGTAACCATGGTCAGCAATTGGGAGGAACAACGAAATGGTATTATGTCGTGGGACAAGACCGACGAGAACTTTTATTATTACAACAAAAAAGTGCAAATTATCGAAATGTACGTATATATAATATATCTATGTACAGGTGGGTTATCAATATACAAACAAATCTACTTTTTTTAATGGACATTTTTCTTTACTTCTACGATTAATAGCCAAAGAAAAAAAATGAAAACTTATACTAAAAATATACTGTAAACATCCAAAGGCAAGATAATTTATTTATGATCTTAAAAATCTAGTCTTGTTCTTTGAATAAAAATTCAATTTTGTAAATTGCCTTTATTGATATATAACTACATATAAAAAAAGAGAGAAAAATGTATTATATATCGGCAACATCACAATATTTAATAAATATTGTAGTTAATTGTGAAATTTATTTATTTAAATGTTGTTTATAGTGAAGTTTTAACCATGTCAGAACAAAATTTAAAAGAAACAAAAAAATCTTTACAAATTTAAAATAAAATCATTCGAAAATACAGTATATATATACAAGGTTAAAACATTGGTATATACATATTATGTATTTATTAAATTTTTATTATTTATAT